CATTTCCTACCTATAGTGTATGTGAAATGTGTAGGTTATTAAAGAGTATATATATATATATATATATATATATATATATATATCTCACACACACTCTGTCTTCAATCATTGTGTGAGGCTAGAAGGGTTTTGTCTTATAGACATGGGGTTTCCTTGGTCCAAGATAATACCTCGAGCTTTTGTTGGTGATCAAGATAGACATTGAAGCATGTGAAGCTCTCTGTTCCTACAAGTTCCAAGTTTATTTTCACAAAAGGTAACCCTGAACCTGATATTGCTTCTGCCTATGATATCTTACAGATGATAAATGCGTGGCTGATATGCTGAGATCAAAAAAGTGTTAGTGAATTTTGATCGGAATGGGCATTAGAAGGATTCCAAAATGTGGGTTGAGGAGAAATATATTGTGAAGAAATAGCACTTCCAATAACAAAGATAGCATAATTAAAATCACTAATACAAAACCGCATGAACCATCTTAAAAAATATATTGAGCCCGCTTCGAACTGGAAAGTTGTCTGAAATACTGCATTTTCTTATCTAATCATTCACAGCAAGAATTATAAATACTATGGTTTGTCTTGGTTTTTCGTATTTATGCACATCTATTTGGAAGTGACTGATATCTAAATGAAATGGGAGAATGTTGAAATGACATTTTGAATATTAGTAGAAAATGTTCACGTTAAAGGAAAATGACTCATGTGCAACATCTTAATTAGGAAACCTTCATTGGCTTGTCCAATTTCTTAGATTGCTTTATGGAAAGCTCTTCATGGATTCAGTCAAACTGTGTATCTTACTTCTTCATTTTAAGTTTCAGAGACAAATGTAGCTCAACTGCTCGGCTGTAGTAAAAAATTATATTCTCTCTTCCTGCTTACACAGTCTTTCTTTATGGGTGTAGGATTTCACCAGTGCCGGTGGGGTTACAAGAATGTTAGTGATGTTGAGGGAGTGGTCGCTCACTATGCCAAAGCTGGAATCCCTTTAGAAGTTATGTGGACAGATATTGACTATATGGATGGATTTAAGGATTTCACACTCGATCCTATTAACTTCCCCTTGGATCAGATGAAGTTGTTTCTTGATATACTTCATCAAAATGGCCAGAAATATGTGCTTATCTTGGATCCTGGTATGACCAATAAAACTGTGCATCGTCCCTTGAACACTTTTTTCTGCCCCTCTATTTGTTAATTGTTCTAACAAAGCAATATATGACCTGATCTCAAAGTGTTGTGTAATTTAACTTGGGTGAAAGAGGGATCCCTGTTTATATCGGAATTTATGCTGCAGGTATCAGCGTGAACAACACATATGGAACTTATGTAAGAGGGATGCAGTCTGACATATTCATAAAACGTGATGGTATCCCTTATCTAGGGGTGGTTTGGCCTGGGAATGTATATTACCCTGATTTTGTAAATCCATCTGGAGGAATCTTTTGGGGTGATGAGATTGGGAGATTCCGGGATCATCTGTCATTCGATGGTCTGTGGCTTGACATGAATGAGTTATCCAATTTCATATCTTCTGCCGTGACTCCATCATCTACACTTGATGAGCCTCCCTACAAGATTAACAATTTAGGAGTCCAAATGCCCATTAATAATAGAACTGTTCCGGCAACTTCTCTGCACTTTGGTAACATTACAGAATATAATGTCCATAACCTTTATGGTTTTTTAGAATCCAAAGTCACTAACGAGGCCTTAGTAAAGGTAACTGGTAAAAGGCCATTTATCCTTGCTAGATCAACTTTTGTGGGCTCTGGCAAATACACAGCACACTGGACTGGAGACAATGCCGCCACGTGGGATGATTTGGCATACTCGATTCCGAGCATCTTAAGTTTTGGACTGTTTGGGATTCCAATGGTTGGAGCGGATATATGTGGTTTTTCTGGAAACACAACGGAAGAGCTATGTCGACGTTGGATTCAGGTGTGGTGCATAGCACATTCGAATTACACTTGAATTCCATTTCAGGTTACATAGAATTTTTTAAATCTACTGTAATTATTTTTAATTTATAAAACACTTGCAAGTAGTAATATTTTAATTGTTCAGAGGACCGCATTTTAGGATTTTCTTTTGGGGATGAGAACTTTGAAGAAAAAAAAGAACAAACTGTTTTATGATTCCCAGAAGTGACAGTTTCAAATTTACCATTTCCATTACTGATGATGTTCTCTCAATGATACAAACAACAGAATTTGAAGGTGTTCTTTCAGTTGATAATAAGTTGTTGCAGAATGATTTTTTATTTGCGAAGGTGTTCCCAGATATTACAATAAGGGATTGAAAATCACTCTGTTCCTTATTCCTGAAAAAGTGTTTGTACTTTATTCCTAAACTTCGTCATTTTTGCAGCTAGGGGCTTTTTATCCCTTTGCAAGAGATCACTCTGCCATTGATACTACCCGTCAAGAGCTCTATTTGTGGGATTCAGTTGCTGCAGCAGCCAAGAAGGTGCTTAGGTTTCGGTATCAGCTGCTTCCCTACTTTTATATGCTAATGTATGAGGCACATATGAGAGGAACTCCAATTGCACGGCCCCTTTTCTTCTCTTTTGCTCAAGACTTGAATACGTATGAAATCAGCTCACAGTTCCTCATAGGCAAGGGCGTAATGGTGTCACCTGTGCTGAAGCAAGGGGCAATCTCAGTTGATGCTTACTTCCCATCAGGAAATTGGTTCGACCTCTTCAACTATTCGCAATCAGTCAGTGTAGACGAAGGAAAATATGTGACACTTGATGCACCACCTGACCATATAAATCTACATATTAGGGAAGGGAACATATTGGCCATGCAAGGGGAAGCTATGACGACACAATCAGCTAGGAAGACGGCATTCCAGCTTTTGGTAGTTCTCAGCAACAGCGAAAACAGCACTGGAGAAGCATTCTTTGATGATGGAGAGGAAGTGGAAATGGGAGGGGAAGGAGGTCGGTGGACTTTAGTAAGATTTAATGGCAATCTCGTAGGTAACACAGTAATGGTTGGATCGGAGGTTGTGAAGGGAGAATTTGCCTTGAGTCAGAAGTGGGTTATAGAAAAGGTTATATTTTTAGGGTTGAACAGTGGGAAAGGCTTGGAAGGCTATAAAATAATCACTAAGGGAGGAAATGGGCATCAGAAGCCACGTCCGTCTGTAAGTTTTGGTATTAACGGACAGTTTACTACTGTGGAGATGGAAGATTTGTCATTGCTGATTGGTGAGGGTTTTATGATAGAGCTAAATTTCGGTAAGTAATGGTACATTTCATAGTCAAATAAATTTTGTAAGTTCTTGTGGTAATCAGTGATTCAAACAAGAGGCGGTCCGAGTCTTCCTCTGTTGAAGTACCTAAATCTCCTCCTTTATCGTCTTTCTTCCATCCGGTGGGAAAGGATGAGACGGAATAATGTTCCTCCTCTCTCTCTCTCTCTCTCTCTCTCTCTCTCTCTCTGTATGTGTTCAATTCAAAATGGCATTTAGTTACCATATATTGATGAAAAATGATGAGATTCAAGATGTCATGTATATTTATTTATGTTTGTGATATTTGTAAGTAGAACTTTGAGTAGAACTGATATTACAAGATGTCTTGGAATTATAAAAATCGATGACAGTCGGGACAGAACTAAGATTTTAACGCGTCAAAGCTATTAATCCTTCATAAATCATTTAAAGTCGTCGATGAGATATTTAACTTTTAAATTAATTAATACAATTTTTTTATAAATCATTTAAAATTGTCTATGAGATATTTAACTTTTAAATTAATTAATACAATTTATTTTTGCAAAAATCAATACACAATAGAATTATTATAAAAAAAAAATCTGTGGAGCTTAATGCAATTTTTCTTTAAAAAAAATTTAATACACAGAAGAATTATTATCACTCTTTGGTAGTAGATTACTACTTTTTATGTAATATTCTATGGGTAAGTTACCACTTTTTATGTAACTCTTTTTGTGGTTAGTTTTTTTTTTTTGGTAAGTTACCACTTTTTATGCAACATTTTTTGGGGTAAATTATTCTTTTTGGGGGTAAGTTGGTAAATTTTAACTTTTGGAGGATAAGGTTATTACTTTCTAAGTATTTTGGATTGATCATTTGTTTATCACGACCGACCTTGTTACAATCAGGATCAGTCAAATAGCCGATCTTGTTACCAATGCTGTGCTACAATCAATAGGATCGATTTTATTACAATCTTAGTAGCATCACGATCGGTCTAAATGTAAAAACAAATTTTGGATAATTTTCATCTATTCTGACACTAGGTAGACATATTTTTAATCAAATCCCCAACAATCTTTGTACGTACAATTCGATTAAAATTCGAGTCAATTAGTTTTTTTTTCCCTACAAATTTTTGAGATGATTGAGCTTATTAAATTTTATTTTTTTACAAATTTTAAGACTATTAACAAGAAATTGAATGCTAATTTGATTAATTAAATATTAATTGGAAGAATTTGCATGTTACTTTGGTATTGATAAATTGAATCTTTATTAGATGATTTAAGATGTTAATTTGATAAATTGAGTTTTAATTGGATGAAGTTGAAGATAACTTGAATGAATTGAATGGTAATTTAGTGTTAATTTGATAAAATGGGTGCTAATAGAATGAAATTAAATATTAATTTAATGAATTTAATGCTAATTAATTGAATTTCAATGTTAATTTAATGAATTGAATATTTATTAAATGAATTAAATATTAATTTAGTGTTAATTTGATAAAATAAATTTTTATTTGATGAATTGAATGTTAATTTAACGATTTGAATGCTAATTGAATGATATCTAATACTAATTTGATTAGTTCAATACTAATTGGATGAATTTGGAGGTTAATGTGATGCCAAATTTTCTAAATTGCATGTTAATTGAATACATTATAGATAAAATTAAAAAATTGATATTTTAGATATTAAACTGGCAAAATATCCACCTTTTTTTAGGGATAAAAGTGTTGTTAACCTATTAAGATAATAGGTTAATAACAATTTTATCCCTAAAGTATGAACGTTTTATTAATTAGGTTCTTAAAGTATGAATTTATAAATTTTATCTCTAAAGTATTTAATTAACATGCAATTAGCAAATTTACATACATTAATATATTCAATTCATCAAATTAACATTGAAATTCAACTAATTAACATTAAATTCATTTAATTCATATTCAAAATCATCTAATTAACATTTAATTCATTCAATTAATATCCAAAATCATCCAATAAAAAATTAATTTATTAAATCAACACTAAACTAACATTCAATTTATATTTAATTTATCAAATTAACACTTACTTTCATATAATAAGAATTCAACTCATCAAATTAACATTCATGTACATCCAATTAACACTCAATTCAATAAATTAACATCTAAAATCATCCAATAAAGATTCAATTAATCAAATTAGCATAAAATTAATATGCAATTTCATCTAGTTAATATTTAATCTATCAAATTAACACAAAATTAACATTCAATTTCATTTATTAAATATTCAATTGATCAAATTAACATTCAAATTCAACTAGCTAACATTAAATTCATCAAATTAGCATTCAAATGTATTCAATTAACACTCAATTCATCAAATTAACACCAAATTAATATTCAAGTCATCCATTTTATATTCAAATTCATCCAATTAACACTTAATTCATAGAATTAACTTTCCAAATCAAACAATAAATATTCAATTTATCAAATTAACACTAAAGTAGAATACAATTTCACCTAATTAATATTCAATTCATTAAATTAACACCAAATTAACATTCAGTTTTATCTAATAAGCATTTAATTCATCAAATTAACATTCAAATTCAACTAGTTAACATTAAATTAATCAAATTAATTTTCAAATTCATTTAATTAACACTCAATTCATCTAATTTATATTCAACTTCATTCAATTAACACTCAATTAATCAAATTAACATCCAAAATTATTTAATAAATATTCAATTTATCAAATCAACACCAAAATAACATGCAATTTCATTCAATTAAAATTTAATTTATCAAATTAACATTCAATTCATCAAATTAGCATTCAAATTCAACTAGTTAACATAAAATTCATTCATCACATAAACATTCATTTTCATCCAAATAATATTCAATTCATCCAATTAATATTTAATTTATCAAATTAACATTTCAATTCATCCAATTGATATTATGAATTTAATATTAATTGGATTACTTGAATGTTATTTGATGTTACTTTGATGAATTGGATTGAGTTGAATGTTAATTTGTTGAATTTAATGTTATTGTGTTGATTTGATGAATTAAATATTTATTGGATAAAGTTATATGTTAGTTTGGTGTTGATTTGATAAATTGAATGTTTATTATATTTTTTAAATATAAATTGAATACTTTAGCAATCAAATTGACAAAATATGCATATTTTAGAGATAAAAATATTTTTAAAAAGCATGTGAGTTTCTGTTAGATCGTTCATTTTTTGTCTTGAACTAGTCCTATTTTAGCTATATAGTGTCGGTAAGCATAATCAGGATCATTAAGCATAACTCACGATCGGTCTTGATTTAAAGTAAAGGGTAAATTTCAGTTATATGGTTTTTAGTTTAACATATCTTCAAGGATAGCCCTTTTATTTTTTGAATCTTCATTGCCACACCTTATCAGATTAATGACATTAACTATAATGCAACTTTACTAAATTGTCTATGATAACTTTATTCACATCCCTCTAGATAGACATACCTTCAATAGAACCCTATTTGTTTTCGAAATTTTTTTACGTATAAAAACTAGGATCAATTAAAATTCGATTTAAGCTAATTAAAATTTGAGTCGATTAAAAATTATATTTTTATACATATTAAAATTTGATTTGAACTGGTTAAAATTTTTAATCGGCTCGAATCAATTTCTAACCAAATGGCATTGAATTTTAATCGTCCCGAATTTGATATATAAAAAAATATAAATTTTAATATACTCAAAATTTAATGCATAAAAAATGAATTTTAATCAATTAGAATCAAATTTTAACTGACACGAGTTTTAATAAGAAAAAAATAAAAATTTAATCAGCTCGAATCAAATTTTAATCAGTGTTAGCAGCTCATGTTGAGCTCAAATTTGGTCAAATTTTAATACCTCAAAATAAGAGTTTTAATAAGCTCCAATTTTAATATGTTAAAAAAAATTTAATCAACTTGGATCGAATTTTAATTGAATTAAATTTTAATCTATAAAAAAATAAATTTTAATCGACTCAAATTTTAATATGTAAAAAAATGAATTTGAATTAACTCTAGTTTTAATATAATTTTATGTAAAACAAATTGTGTAAGGGCAATTTTGGTATTTGGGATATATATATTTGGTTAGAAATGGTGATTTAATGGCCAAGGGGAGTGTTAGTAATGTTTAAATATGAATTTGAAGGGGTGTCAATGATGCTTTTGATATTAAAGAGGGTGTCTTTGAAGATATGATAAACTAGAAAAATATAAGTGTAATTTTTTCTAAAGTAATTCACCACGAACCGTCCCAGCTTAAATTGGGATCAGTCTTACCTTGAAATAGGATTGGTCCTAGCTTGTCATGACAGATCATTAAGTACCAAAAAATGCTAAATTATCCTAGTAAGTGGTAACTTCACAATAAAATGGTAACATTATCCAAAAATGTTAACTTTACCTTAAAAACTGGTAAGTGATCATTTTTTTGGGATAATTTATTACTTTTTTTGGGATAAATTACTATTTTTTGGGGTAAGTTATAACTATTTGGAGGATAAGTTATTACTTTTTGGGGGTAAGGGGTAAGCTATCGTTTTGTGGGGTAAATTATAGTTTCTAGGGGGTAAGTTATTATTTTTGTGGATAAATTATCACTTTTTAGGATAAGGTACAACTTTTTTGGGGGTAAGGTACCACTTTTTTGGGTGGTAACTTACTATTTCTGTGAGATAAGTTATCACTTTTGGGATAAGTTACCACTTTCATAGGTGAAGTTACAATTATTTGGGGTAAAGGTACTAGATTTTGGGGGTAAATTGCCACTTTTGTGAGTTAAGTTATCATTTTTAAGGGGTAATTTACCACTTTTTTAAAGTAAGTTAAAACTTTTTGAAGGTAAGTTATCACTTTTTTAGGTTTAAGGTGCCACTTTTTGGGAAAATTGATGGAACCGGTTGTGAGTTTTTGATATATAAATGTTAAACACATAAATCCTTTACTTTTTTAGTAAGGTAACAAAAAAAATAAATGGCGGTACTGAAGTGAACTACTATGAAAATTAGTTTGGATCACAGTATTTAAAAACTTATTTGTACTAGCAATCATAAAACTGATGGTAAGTGATAACTTGCCCTCAACTTTTTGAGGGTAAGTTATCACTTTTTTGGGGGTAAGGTGCCCTTTTTTGAGAAAATTGATGAAAATTGGTTATGAGTTTTTGATATATAAATGTTAAGCACATAAACCTTTTACTTTTCAGTATGAT